TCTGGTGCGTACATGAATAAATCAGAAGGTTTTCTGATGCATGAGCTGGCAACATACAGTTGTCCATGTGAGAAGCACGGATTCTCTACATTTAGTCCATATACTCACAGAGATTGTTAGAAGTGTGATATTCCCCATTTTTATATATTATTTTAAATCCTTTATAATTTTGATTATTTAATTGCTCCTTCCTCTCTTGGCATGTTGTTAAATTTCTGATAGTTGGATAATAAACCGTTTTATTGTAATTTGTCTTTTTAAATTATTTTGAGTTGATATTAAAATTTGGAAAAATGGGATTCCTAGATCAGTAAAATAGGCGAATTTCCTCCTACAACTTCGGTTGTTGTTTGGNGGCACGTTGTGAAATTTCTGATAGTTGGATAATAAACCGTTTTATTGTAATTTGTCTTTTTAAATTATTTTGAGTTGATATTAAAATTTGGAAAAATGGGATTCCTAGATCAGTAAAATAGGCGAATTTCCTCCTACAACTTCGGTTGTTGTTTGGGATACAGTTAAGGTTTTAACAAAGTTCGAGTGAATACATAATTAGCAAAAAGAAAGTTGAAATAAAGTGATTAAACAAAAGTTATTACAAATATTGTAAATAACAAATGCATATATAGAGATATTTTTTGGAGGGGGGGAAATGGTCTTCACAATTTGAAATCAATCAAACACACAGTGCTCATATGCACGTATGCACGCGCGTCATCTATTGTAGGATAAATGTACTTTGTGGGAGTGTATTAAAAAACTTCCCAAAGTTTCATGGCAATCATACTATGCCAGAAACCTTCGCGGGAATATATTAAACAACTTCCCAAAGTTTCACGGCAATCGGATAAACGGTGTGGTAATGCATGAAGGACACACACACACACAACACACACACACACACACACACACACACATTCATTTTTATATATATAGATGTATGATTTCCATTAACAGTATCAAGTTGAGCCTGAATATAAAACTTTTCTAACTCAGTTGGTGTAGTTAAACTTAAAATTGTTTTCTTTTACATTTGGTTGGCTTAAACTTAACCTGTTGAGTAATATTCTTGTTTGCAGGTATCTTTACAGTCTGCACCATCACTGATATAAATAATTAACACCTCTCTCAACTTTTATGGTAATATTTTCATCTAAATTTATACATGTCAAATAATAATTTACTAAATCCCACTTTTCAAGCAGCCTCTCCGTTTTTGTATCTGAATTGCTGTGGTGAATATAGCAGCAGAAAATGTAAATAGTTTACTTTCTTGCTGGCTAACAGGATCATCAAGCACCTGGTCTTGCAAAGATACATCTGATATATTAGAATAAGTTGATACAGCATAAATATGTTGCAAATGGTATAGTTAATATAATAATTAGGGCAATCGTAATTGTAACTGTAACTATGGATATGTACAAGGGTAGGCTGAAAAGTAATGCACACATGCTTGTAGAACATGAACAAAAGTAAATATCAAGATTAGGCAAAAAGTACATAAAAGTACAATTCTTAAGCTTCAAAATCATATATTTATTTTTCAACATAGTCACCATTAAGGCTAACACATTTCTCTCAACGTGTAACCAAGTATTTTCATTCCGTCACTGAAAAATTCTTCCGACTTTTCTTGAATCCAGGACTTGACAGCTGCCTTCACCTCATCGTCTGAGGTGTAATGATTACCATTGAGGTCTCTCTTGAGTAGAAGAAAAAAAATAAAAATCGCAAGGCGCAAGATTAGGGGAATAAGGAGGGCATGAAATCAGTTCAAACTTCCGGTTTCGCAGAGCCTCTCTAGTTGCGTGCTAGGTGTGTGGATGAGTGTTATCATGTTGCAAGATTATTGGCGCGAGGTGATTATTTGATGTGTTAGAGGCAGCCTAGTGCCAATAATCTTGCAACATGACAACACTCATCCACACATCTAGCACGCAACTGGAGAGGCTCTATGAAACCTGAAGTTTGAACTGATTTCATGCCCTCCTTAATCCCCTAATCTTGCACCTTGTGATCTTTATTTTATTTATTTTTTCCTCTACTCGAGAGACCTCAATGATAATCATTACACCTCGGATGATGAGGTGAAGGCAGCTGTCAAGTCCTGGATTCGAGAAAAGTCAGAAGAATTTTTCAGTGATGGAATGAAAAAAATTGTTACACGTTGAGAGAAATGTATAGCCTTAATGGTGACTATGTTGAAAAATAAATATATGATTGTGAAGCTTAAGAATTGTACTTTTATGTCCTTTTTGCCTGATCTTGATACAGTCAACCCCCCTATAACGGAAATTCCTATAACATATCGAAAAAATTGCAGCAGTATTCGTATAAAGTGACTCGTAAAACGTCGTCGCCAACTCCTGTCGCGACAAGATTGGTCGAATCTGGACCAATAGTGGACGAGCAGCCGAACTACTTTCCGCCGCCCAGTGCCACGCTACGGAGAGTTTAGGCGGTTAAATTGAGTTTGCTATCGTCTGTACAGTATTATATATAAATTAGGTACTGTACATATAATTATATATAAATTAGGTACTGTATATATAATTATGTATTAACTTAATTTATTGTAACTTTATTATAATTATATATATACTTTCCGCCGTCTAGCGCTACGCTATGGACAGTTTAGGCTAGTAAGTTGAGTTTATTATCGTCTGTACAGTATGTAAATTAGGTACCGTAAGTCTAATACAGCACTAATTTTATACATTTCTTGTGAAAGAAACACTTCTTATTCAACGGCCATAAAAATTATTTATATTAATGATGTCTCCAAAGGTCAAGTTATTTTTCTGCAAAAAATTTGATATCAGATATCGCGGCCGCCGTTTCGTGCGCTGTTCCGCGACGAAAACAAGCTTGAGCAACGGCGTAGTCGAACGGTGCACACTCGGTAAGTAATCCTACAATTTTTTGTTTATAGCATAGTTTATACAGATTATTCCCAAAAAATTATACGTGTTTTGGAAATGTTGAATGGAATTAGTCTAGACTCGGTTAATTTTATAGAAGAAAACCTTTCAAACAGCCTTAGTCCGTAAACTTCACAAGTGTCGGGCTGCGTTTGGCTCATGTATTTAATGATTCCTACAACGTAAAATTCGATTAACGTAGAACGTATCTAAGCGTTATAGGGGTCTACTGTAGAATAACTGTCGACGTTTCAACACCAGAAAGAAAACCAAATACAAGGTTCTCTTGTATGTTGTGATGGCATATGACCTCCGCCCATGCTGGTTAACTTAGTCAGTTATACCGAATTATAAGGTTATACCAGATGTTGAGAGGATGGTTGAAGGTCTTAGCAGCATGTATAAGATACATTAGGATAGTATAATATGTGCTAGAATAAAAAAGGGAAGAACTTAAATCTAAAATTAAGAATATATTAAGAGGTGGAATTTTTTAAAAATAATAACGGAATACCTGTAGGGTGTAAAATAATTCTGATGAGATGTACAGAGAACATAGACAAGATATGAGAGCTTAAAAAGAAGTGAGTAATCCTTGTAACATAGACAGAAAGTTTGGTGTGACTTGCTCAGTAGGGTATGATAGAGGGAGGGTGGTAGAACATCTTAATTAATGGGCTTTGCTACTTAAGAATGGCTGCCAGATGTCATTTATGACTGCACTTGTATTTAAGTTCATTCTGTGTGTTTCTTTAGTTTTAATAATTTCAATGGTCCAAAGTAGGTTAAATGCTATCCTGAGAACACAGTTAAATGCGAAACACACAGTTAAAGCAATAAACACACATGTCATCCCAGTACTCGCATACTCTTTTGGAGTTATATGTTGGACTCACACAGATCTTGAGCAATCCAAAGGAAAACAAGAACAACACTTACTAAGCATAAACATCATCCTAAATCCACCAAAGAAAGATTAATAGTTACTAGATAGCCAGTTAATTAAAACTAAAATTAAAACCCAAAAAAATAACAACTGTGACCTTTAAACTGAAACTAAAATTAGAAACATCATCATAATTAATTTAAAATAAAAATAAAATTAAATTAATTGAAACAATATTTCATAAAGTGTGGGTAAAGTATTTGTCTGTCTTGATTGATTTGATTATATTTTATCCAGGCAGAATTGAGTCTCTATAGCACTTCTTTTGTAAAGTGTTAGTTTTGTTTTCATATGGTGTTGACAGAACAGTCTGTTTAAAATTATCTTAACTTCAAAACTGTCTAATTTCAGGAATTACTTTTAAATATTTTCTTTAAAATAAGTGAAAACTTTATTTGAAATTATTACACAGTTAAATGCAGGAGACCATAAATATGGGAAGATTCTTTTAGATATTTAATTTTTTGCATCAAAACTGAATTTGACTCCACTGTTCTGTAGTCTGCATGCTGTACAAATAGTGATTTTATGTTGAGATGATGTCGTCGTCTTGATAACACAGCAACAGTCATATTTAGAGGCTTCAGTCAAACTTTTAAAACAGGAATAAAATATAATGGTTTGTTCACAAACCTATGGATTTTTGATACTATCATCAGGAGATTATTCATAACCTTTATTTTTAAGATGAAATTTAAAATTTATATACTTTCCCCATTATTGTTATTTTTCATGTAACCTATATGATTAGTAATTGTACTTAAACTGAAATGTTATCCTTATAATGGTAATATAATATACCTTGCTGGAACAATCGACAGTGTCTAAGCAAAGAATGTTTTTCTCCGTGGACTCTGTATACAGGTTTTTTGTCTTTTTTATCATATTATTTTTCAGCGTCTGTTTTTTAAAATGGTTTTTGATGCTCAATATTTTGTATTTATATGATCATACAGGAGACGTATTAAAAGCAAGGATTATTAAGAATATAATTAATATATTTTTAATAATCCTTACTATTATATAATAATATACTGTATAGTTAATTACTAAATTTGTTTCGTTGGTAAACTCATTTTAGTCAAATTAACAAGTATTTTACTTTCCCAGCTGTTATGTATACATAACAAGGGAAAGTATTGGAATTGCATCAAATTTGACCGTCTGAGTTTTCTGCAAATTTCCACGTTTTTCAGACTTTTTAAACCAAAAAAGGGGGGAATTTGTGTGTGTTTTGCTACGGCATCTATTCACTTCATCATTACTCCAGCCTGAGATATTAAATGAAATTTGGCATGGTAGCTTATGTATAAGGGAGCATTGATGCTATTAAATTTTAGTTTTGAAAGGTCAAGGGGGTGGAAAATTAGGGTGTCATGTGTCATATCTCATGTGGAGTTGGATGTAATGAAGATTTTATTTGTTGTTGGTATTTAGTTTTTGTTTTTTAAAACTCATTTCTTTCCTGAAAATTATGCTTTTTGCCAGGTTCTACACATTTCTTGACTAGGACACATGTTTATATAATGAAAAGTTAAAAATTTGACTTAAATTTACACCAATCAGAAAGCCCCTTTTCCTGCAGACTTTTTGCCTTGGGTGTCTCACTCTCAAACATCTCTGGCTACATCCCTGCATCAGATATCCAATTACAAAGTATATGGGCTCTTATGGGAGAATTTCGCATGTTTATCTGGCTACCTACATTGCCAAGAAGATTTTGTCCAACTATCTTTACTTGATAGTCGGACAAGATCTCGGCATTGTCCAGCATCGAACACTAGATTTTCAGTGCCAGATGTGCCAAGATGTATCATTGAGATTCAATTCATTGAGGCTTTTTCTTATAATCTATCCAATAGTTGTATGATGGCAGTGAGAATATACAGCTCCATTCCAAAGCAGGCATAACAAGTACTGTACAGATGAACTCAATGTTCGAATCAGCTGCTAGATGGAGATGTGTGAATATAAACGGTCAACAGGATACCCAACATTGGATATCAACACCAGATAGGTGCAAAATTAGGCTGATATTTTTGATCTGATTAAAGAGCAAACTTTATTAAATTAACCACTGTGGCTAGCTTGACCATATACTCATTGCATTTTTGAACAAACTGTAGAAATATTATTAATAAATTAAAAGATATTTCGCATATTAATAAAAATTTTTTATCCACTTTAGTGTAACGGTTACATACATTAAAGCAAATGGAGAAAGAATCACTGCAACAGGGAAAGAAGGTGACAATCTACTTGATATAGTTGTCAACAATAACGTTGATTTAGAAGGATATGGTAAGTTTACATTATTTTAAGTAATAATATAAATAGTTATTGAAAAATTCTCTGCAGAGAACGAATAGTTTTGCATTGTATGGCATTGGATGAGTTTGAGTTTTTAAATTTAAAATGTTTTGTAAAATGTGCATCAGTGTGAATGAAAGATAATGATATAGATAAAATATTAAAGGAAAGTTAGCAAAACTGATAAATGACAAGTAGCTAATGTTGGAATAATGTAACCATGTATTTGGCCATATTGCTTTATCGGATCTCACCATATTCAGTCCAACAAATGCAATGTGCCTTAGCAACTGTACTGGCAAACTTTTTGGTGAATATCAGAACACATTTTAGTACATTGCAGTTCATGATATGCATTGATTATTGTGCACCATGAATGGCAATGTATTTGATTCATACTGCAATATATACGTACATTGTTATACACATAACTTTGATCATCTTTTAAATATTAAGTATGATTAAAGAATATCAAAAAGTATGCTTTAATAATATAAAACAATATGATGAATTAATATTTTTTTAAACAGCATATTAATCTGTAGAGAAGAATTTTCTGTAACTTTCTAAAAATTTTTTTCAATATTTTAAAATTCAAATAAATTCCTAACATTTGTGCATGTTTTAAAAAATAATTTTATAAAAATAACACTGGAATTTTTTAATTATCACCACCACTGTTTATCTTAAAATCATTTTAAAGCTGTATATTTTTATGTAATGGCAATGTTATTTAATTTCTTTTATTTTAATTGATTAGGTGCCTGTGAAGGAACCCTGTCGTGTTCCACGTGCCATCTGATATTTAAGCAGAGTGACTACGACAGATTGGAAGAAGAACCTACAGATGAAGAACTGGACATGCTCGATCTGGCTTTTGGAAGATCACCCACGTAAGTATTTTAAACATTCAAGAGTTGCTTTAATAATAGCTTATAAATATAAAATGATGCCCAATTTCAAGAAAATATACTCTTACTCAAAAATTAACTTTTTCTGTCAAATAATCTGCTTTGGCATAACAAATTTGAAATTGATAATGTCAAAGAAGTAGGTATCTTATAATCTGAAATGCCCTGCAATTAGGCATTGTCCAAAAAAAAGCTGACGTTACCTTCAAATAATTTCAGTGTCAGATATACTAGTATTTTACAAATCAGAATTTGTTTGGACACTTTCACTAAAACTCCAGGTAGTAACGTGTTCGGTATGTTCAGTAAGGTTTTTGTAGGTTTTTAATTCAATTTTTAACAGTGTAATCATGCATTGTATCATCATCAAACTGATTTAACCTATCTTATGTTGAAATTTTTCTCCGTTGTGTGTGCCGCCATGTTGAATTTTTGTTGATGTTAAGCCTAACAAAAAGAAACTTTTTTTAAATAATAATCGTAGCTATTGTATAGTTAAAAATTATTCTTTTATTTTGTACAAAAAATAAATATACAGTAGAGCATCGTTTATCCGAAGGAATTTCAGTCAACAAATTTAAATTTTTGCCAGTGTTGTGGCGCTGTAATCTTTGGCTATGTCTTCGGCTACTCAAATATTTTATGTTTTTGATACTAAATTAACTTCTGAAGTATAATTTTTTTATTGTTTTTATATTTTTCAATATATTTATTTTGTTTGTACAAAATAAAAAAATAATTTTTAACGATACAATAGTCTTCGTTGGGCTTAACATCGACAAAAATTCAACGCGAAGCGACACGCAACGGAGAAAAATTTCAACACAGGATAAATTCATATATTTTTTCGTACATAATTGGTTATCCGAAAAATAAGTTATCCGAACAACCCCAGTCCCCAATTGATTCGGATAAACAACGCTCTACTGTATTGAAAAATATAAAAACAAAAAAATATATATTTTGAAAGTTAATTTTAATATAAAAATTATGATGCATAGCGACATCTAGTATCAAAAACATACTGATACCGTAACAAGATATAGCGGGTTTAACCTGGCGGGTCAAAGGTCACAACCTCGATTATATATCGGGAATAACACAGGATAGGTTAAAGATTGTGCTTAAACAAACAAATTAGTAGTATTTATCTGCTTATGCTGGTACAAAATACATGACAATGTTGTTTCTTATTTTCTATGGAACTGTTTCCTGAAATACAAAAATAAACATTTCCATTGAGAATTACAATTGTGAGAACCATGGGGGTGTAGAGAAGGGAACTCTAAACCTCTCTTATCGGTGATGGGCTGGCTAAGCCCATTCACTCAATGAATGGCTAGGATGGTTATAAATCGAGGTCGCGAAGGTCATTGATAAGGTGTCAGCAATACATGAAGGATGACACTTATATTAAATATGCTATGCTTATATTTTACTAACTAAAGAATACAAAAAAGAAAAGGATTAAACAAGATATTTGATATAAACATAACAATTCTACACAATTCTATAAGATTACGGTTGACTGACATTAAACAGTCCCATTGTGAAAGAAGTGGATTGACATAATTCGTGTCTCTAGTTATTTTATTGACACTAGTCTAACTTATAAACTAATTTTTCCCGAGAAAGAGAGTCTAGTCAATTTTTAAGTAAAATACATCTATGTTTCACTGGTAAGGCAACTAAGTCTGGGACAGCTCCAAAGTGGCGAGTTAGAGGTCTGAAGTAGTGTTGTCGGGTAGGAGGCTTTCTTTGGATGATTGCCCCGATGATCGGGTGTGACCCCTTTTTATACCCATTGCACGTGAGAACTGATTCAGGTGACTTTGATTTAATAAATGTGTTCTAAGTTTGATTTGGGTCTGATATGGGCTGTCAAGAATCGGATGTTTCGACGATTTATTGACACCTTCTATTCAGTATTGTTACTTGTTTTATCTTATAAATTTGTTTGATTGACAGTTTATCATGACTAATCATCTGTTTTGACTAACTTTGTAACATAAATCCAAATATTGGTGATTCAGAGGGATATTGGAGAGGGAGTGTTATCTTTCAATCAGAAAGTTCCCAGTGAAGATCTGGATTCCCTGAGTTTTTCCTTCTGATTTATAATTAGTAGGCTAATTAGCTCGACTGGCTCTTCACACAATGTAATATAATGGAATTAGACCCAAACATATAATATGCTGTTCTCATCTGTTATTTACATTTAGTTAATCTGGTAAACTGTATAAATAACTGTTTAAATAATGGTGAAGCACTGCTCTGAAAGATAGAAAATAGAACATAACTTCAAACATCTAACACTATAGCATAACTTGACGATGACAACCGAAAGATGTTGAAAATATTAAGGTTCGAAAAACAAAACACTTGAAACTTTTAATTACTGTCATATGACAGTATTTATATAGATATGTACTTAAATTTCTATTTTATTTATTTATTGTTTATTATTAAATATTATAAATTACAGTAGAGCGTTGATTATCCGAATGCCAATCAACCAAAACATCGGTCAACCAAAAGCGTTCCAGTCGGACTGTGTCATGCTGAATCGAATGTTTTTGATACTAGATTAACTTCTAAAGTATAATTTTTTTGTTTTTATATTTTTCAATATATTTATTTTGTTTGTACAAAATAAAGAAATAATTTTTGACGATACAATAGCCACAATTATTATTATAAATTTTTGTTAGGCTTAACATCGACAAAAATTCAACATGAAGCAACACGCAATGGAGAAAAATTTGAACATGGGATATATTAATATACTATTATTGGGATATACTAATATACTATATTAATAATGTATTTTTTTCGTACATAATCAGTTATCCGAAAAATTGGTTTTCCATACAACCCCAGTTCCCAATTGATTCAGATAATCGATTTTGGAAAAATGGTTTAAGTGAATAAAACTGATTTCAGATCTTTAACAGAAGTTTCTGATGACAATGATACACATTCTCAACTTAAATAATTATGACTTTTAACATTCTTAATGACTAAAATAAATTTTGTATTAAAAAAAATGTTTTCTATGAAAAAATTACATACATCTGTACAAAAGTTGTGTATTAAATCAAATTACATGCATCATGTAATTTAGTTTAGTACTTATGCTGTGCAATTTAGTACATAATATATACATCATGCATCTATATTAAATCAAATCTCATAAATTAGGTAATGTAATTAGTTATAATTAACTAATTAGTCTAATTATAACAAACATATTCAATAATAACAAATAACTATCAAACAAACAATATTTCTGGTTTAAAACTTTGAAAAAACTATTGAATTCCTGAAGATGAATTAAAACTGTTTATAGAATGTCATACAAACATAAATTATAACAAATGAGATTTTTAATCTTTTCTTTTACACACACTCTATTAGTTTGTTCATTTTTTTCAAATTTCTTCAATATTTTTATTAATAATGACTATCTGTATTAAATTTGAACAGTTTCTGTACCATGACTTGGTTGGTCACAACTTTCCTTCATATTTGATGATAGCATAGGGTGATAGAATTACAATGCTTCATACATAGTTTACTTTCTAACAATCATATTCTGTTACCTTTTTTTCTTGGACATTGTAAATATAATAATAATAATTTTTATTTTCGTAATATGGGATATTCCCGTTACAAGGGGGAACATAAATTAACACATTTGATGGTTAACATTAATAATAGTATTTATCTCGAATTACAAAAAGATATTTTTATTTAAGTCTCATTATCAGATTTGTTACTGGCCTTCCCGGACAATTTAACATATTTAGTAAAAAAATTGTATAATCTTGTTATTATAGTGGGGCTCATTTGAAACAACTTTTTATAAAATTCACTAGTTGATTTACTCTCAGATAAAGTAGAAATACCGTATTTTTACCTAATCTCTGTACAACCTCTACATGTACATATTATATGGAAGATCGAAATTTGCTCCTGATATAATTTACATATTTCTCTGCTGATCCTTATATAATTCTGATCCACTAATATATAAAAACTGTTTAGTCGGAGCTGCATATAAAATTTTTTAATTATAAACGGTAGGTGAAAATTGATGTATTCGTTTGAAGGAGGAAAGTTTAAATTCTCCATATACCAGGGATGGAATTTTGAACTCTGTAATTTAAGTATTTCTTGATGAATAGAATTGTTAAACACATTTTCTATTAACGTACGGTTACCAAATTGCCAGTCTTCTTCTGTATTTCCAAATAAAATAGGAGAAATTCCATATTTAGCCAGCATTTGACTATATTTAGTAAACCAATTGTTGACATAATTTTTCTTTGTTTCTGTTAGACTTTTCAGATTATTTAATATGGTCTTAATCCAAGGATGATCACTGTTAATCATTCTTTTATAAAATTTTTGTATTCTTGATACCAAATAGGGCTCCAATTGTAGTCGGTTTGTGTCAGGACATTGTAAATATGTGAGATGTGAAAAATTCTGAAAATACTCATTACCAACTTTTATTTTGTTGTAAATGCTACAATGCATTTTTTAAATGTAAAATATAAAACAGTATCTCTCCAATATCATAAAGTTACTAGTGTCATAGGAGAAACTTCTTAACATATAGGCATTAAATTACAAATAAATGTCGCTAGATTAACGAGCGCTTTTGACGATAAATATTTTCGTCTTTGTCAGGTTGATAAAAACGGTTAGTCGTTTTTTTAAATATGAATATCAAAATATTCCAACAGTATTAACATTTTCGAACAAAAGCAACGGTGGAATGTAAGATAAAGAATTTAAATAAAAACACGTGTGGTTATAATGCGCATGTGCTATAAGTCTCCAAACTGTGGACCTAGAATTGTTGGATTTAATATGTTGGTAAGGAGGGCCTCCCAAATATACATGAGGTTTCTGTTATTACAATGCCTTAGTATCACCACCTGGTCCCACAACAGGGTGTGTTGGTGTTGCAACACCATTCTAGCGAGCTCAGTTTCACTTTTGCCTGCCCTGATAGAACACTGATGCTTCGAAATGTGACAAGACAACATTTCAGGTTGTCTCGCCAATATAGTGGGTGCAACCACCCAACATATTTTCCAGTGGGATAGAATAAACCCCAGATCTTTCTAGTGTGGAAGTAGGATCTTGTTAATCTAGCGACATTTATTTGTAATTTAACCCCTTCATTCCCGATCATTAATTAAATTGATATAAGATTAATATTAAAATACATTAAAAATACTTAAAACTGAAAAAAAACGAAATAAATGCGTTAATTTTGAAGAAAAAGCTTCAAATTTTATTTTCTTTTGTTTCGCCTTTCTGTGAAATTTAACACCGATGAGTCATTGCTTACACAGCTGGGTGACCTTGAACACAGCTGGAGTCTGATTTCCCGGGACATTCCCATGTACGCCGCGGGAGGTCAAGGGTTTAAAGTAGGGTGGCTATGACCAACACGTAAATTTTTAAATATTTTTAAAAAATTAAAAATTTTATTGCGATTTCCGACTCCTCCTAATTAATTAATTTTATATTTAAAAAAAATATAGTAAATAAAAAAATTAAAAAACCATTGGAGGTCGTTTTTGACATCAGAAACTAGCTTTAAATAACTTTACCGAATGAAAATCCGTGCACTACAACTTAGGAACCATGAAATAAATTTGATAAAAAACTCCCATTAAAAAACAACTGAGCCTTAATCGAGCCTTATTAAAGGCTAATTAAAATCGCAATAAAATTTTTTCACGCGGGCAAAAAATTTTGAAAAAAATTTGGGGACCTAAAAAACATTCCGAAAATTCAAAAAAAAAATTTTTTTTCAAAAATGGCCTTAAGGACCACGTTTTTCGTAAGGCTATGTAGGCTTGACGTATATATACGTCAATGGAGACTAAGGAGTTAACGCCTATATGTTAAGAAGTTTTTCCTATTAAATGATCAGCATGCTGTCTATTTCTGAATTATAGTTGCATATATTATGAGGCTTACTCAAGTGTAAGTATGTGATACTTCGAATTTTAACAAAAATCAATTGTTGATGTCATACTTGCTCAACAATTGTTGTCTTCAGCTGTCTGACAAAATCTTCCCTTATGCTTTCTTGACGGTGAAAACGACACATTCCCGTGATCTGCAGACCTCTTAGCCGGACAGTGTCACACTGATATCGGATTTGACGGCTGAAAAGTCAGTCGTCACCAGTCACTCTTGTATTAACCTGTCCTACGTTGTTCCCGAAAATATTTGTGTTGACCTCATTGACCTGCGTGGGCAATCCCGAATATTTTCGTGTNGCCGATTCTTTTCTTCCAGTTTAATCTAAATTTATTAATTAAATATTATAAATACGATAGAATAGGCAGTTGTATGTTGCCAGATATCAATTAATTTAAAGGTTTCATTTAAATTTGTTAGATCATCAGGAGGGATATAAAAGAACATTAGTTTATTTTTTATATTTGCAAGAATAGATTTGTTGATTGAAATAAAAACAGAATGCAGTAGTCAGATTTTTTTTGTTTGTATTATTCAATATATTTATTTTGTTTGTGCAACATAAAAAAAAAGAATTTTTTACGATACAGTAAACATGATTATTATTTTAAAAAAAATTTAGGCTTAACATTGACGAAAATTCAACATGGCATCACAGGCAACAAATAAAAATTTCAACATCGAATAGGTTAAAGTCATAGAAATTTTTCCTGTGTCAGTGCAAATTTCTGTGCTCAATCAGTACTCTGTCGGATTTTCACATTACTTTCCACTCTGGCTAGAAGAACTTTCTTGATCCAGACTTTATATTATGTTATTAGTACACATAGTACAGACTGGGTACCGCATTGGCATAACCGGGTATGATGTACAGTTACAACAAAAAAATTATACAGAGTATTACAAGATAAGCTGATATATGAACAGTAGAAAAAAAAAACAATAAAATAAAGTGAATAAAAAGATAAGATAAAATAAAGAAAATATGAAAAACATATAAAAGCAAGCTATATATGTGTTAGTGGCCAAACTAGTTTATCCTACGCATGTCAGGATATACTAGTTTAGCTTAGGATAATCTAGTTTGGCCTAAATACTTTAGAATTAACTAGTTTGTTCTAGGCCGAACTGATTTAGAATTTTAAGTCAGGCCTGGCCAACCAGAATTGTTTCTTGGGCTACTTTGATCATGCATAACATTACAATTGGCCACAATTTAGGCAAACATACTTTTAAGAAAGTAAAACATACAAAATGAATAAGATTTCATTGTTATATCAAGAGTTCATACTTGCAGTTGCACATTATAACAATGACACATGCAAATTTTCATTTATTTAATTGTTTTGGTTACACAAAATGGAAATCGAAAGTTTTAATAGATATATTATATCACTTAGCGAGCTACACAATTTAATGTGTAATGGGTTGGCCAGGCCTGATTTAAGTATATTAANACAATCGACAGTGTCTAAGCAAAGAATGTTTTTCTCCGTGGACTCTGTATACAGGTTTTTTGTCTTTTTTATCATATTATTTTTCAGCGTCTGTTTTTTAAAATGGTTTTTGATGCTCAATATTTTGTATTTATATGATCATACAGGAGACGTATTAAAAGCAAGGATTATTAAGAATATAATTAATATATTTTTAATAATCCTTACTATTATATAATAATATACTGTATAGTTAATTACTAAATTTGTTTCGTTGGTAAACTCATTTTAGTCAAATTAACAAGTATTTTACTTTTCCATCTGTTATGTATACATAACAAGGGAAAGTATTGGAATTGCATCAAATTTGACCGTCTGAGTTTTCTGCAAATTTCCACGTTTTTCAGACTTTTTAAACCAAAAAAGGGGGGAATTTGTGTGTGTTTTGCTACGGCATCTATTCACTTCATCATTACTCCAGCCTGAGATATTAAATGAAATTTGGCATGGTAGCTTATGTATAAGGGAGCATTGATGCTATTAAATTTTAGTTTTGAAAGGTCAAGGGGGTGGAAAATTAGGGTGTCATGTGTCATATCTCATGTGGAGTTGGATGTAATGAAGATTTTATTTGTTGTTGGTATTTAGTTTTTGTTTTTTAAAACTCATTTCTTTCCTGAAAATTATGCTTTTTGCCAGGTTCTACACATTTCTTGACTAGGACACATGTTTATATAATGAAAAGTTAAAAATTTGACTTAAATTTACACCAATCAGAAAGCCCCTTTTCCTGCAGACTTTTTGCCTTGGGTGTCTCACTCTCAAACATCTCTGGCTACATCCCTGCATCAGATATCCAATTACAAAGTATATGGGCTCTTATGGGAGAATTTCGCATGTTTATCTGGCTACCTACATTGCCAAGAAGATTTTGTCCAACTATCTTTACTTGATAGTCGGACAAGATCTCGGCATTGTCCAGCATCGAACACTAGATTTTCAGTGCCAGATGTGCCAAGATGTATCATTGAGATTCAATTCATTGAGGCTTTTTCTTATAATCTATCCAATAGTTGTATGATGGCAGTGAGAATATACAGCTCCATTCCAAAGCAGGCATAACAAGTACTGTACAGATGAACTCAATGTTCGAATCAGCTGCTAGATGGAGATGTGTGAATATAAACGGTCAACAGGATACCCAACATTGGATATCAACACCAGATAGGTGCAAAATTAGGCTGATATTTTTGATCTGATTAAAGAGCAAACTTTATTAAATTAACCACTGTGGCTAGCTTGACCATATACTCATTGCATTTTTGAACAAACTGTAGAAATATTATTAATAAATTAAAAGATATTTCGCATATTAATAAAAATTTTTTATCCACTTTAGTGTAACGGTTACATACATTAAAGCAAATGGAGAAAGAATCACTGCAACAGGGAAAGAAGGTGACAATCTACTTGATATAGTTGTCAACAATAACGTTGATTTAGAAGGATATGGTAAGTTTACATTATTTTAAGTAATAATATAAATAGTTATTGAAAAATTCTCTGCAGAGAACGAATAGTTTTGCATTGTATGGCATTGGATGAGTTTGAGTTTTTAAATTTAAAATGTTTTGTAAAATGTGCATCAGTGTGAATGAAAGATAATGATATAGATAAAATATTAAAGGAAAGTTAGCAAAACTGATAAATGACAAGTAGCTAATGTTGGAATAATGTAACCATGTATTTGGCCATATTGCTTTATCGGATCTCACCATATTCAGTCCAACAAATGCAATGTGCCTTAGCAACTGTACTGGCAAACTTTTTGGTGAATATCAGAACACATTTTAGTACATTGCAGTTCATGATATGCATTGATTATTGTGCACCATGAATGGCAATGTATTTGATTCATACTGCAATATATACGTACATTGTTATACACATAACTTTGATCATCTTTTAAATATTAAGTATGATTAAAGAATATCAAAAAGTATGCTTTAATAATATAAAACAATATGATGAATTAATATTTTTTTAAACAGCATATTAATCTGTAGAGAAGAATTTTCTGTAACTTTCTAAAAATTTTTTTCAATATTTTAAAATTCAAATAAATTCCTAACATTTGTGCATGTTTTAAAAAATAATTTTATAAAAATAACACTGGAATTTTTTAATTATCACCACCACTGTTTATCTTAAAATCATTTTAAAGCTGTATATTTTTATGTAATGGCAATGTTATTTAATTTCTTTTATTTTAATTGATTAGGTGCCTGTGAAGGAACCCTGTCGTGTTCCACGTGCCATCTGATATTTAAGCAGAGTGACTACGACAGATTGGAAGAAGAACCTACAGATGAAGAACTGGACATGCTCGATCTGGCTTTTGGAAGATCACCCACGTAAGTATTTTAAACATTCAAGAGTTGCTTTAATAATAGCTTATAAATATAAAATGATGCCCAATTTCAAGAAAATATACTCTTACTCAAAAATTAACTTTTTCTGTCAAATAATCTGCTTTGGCATAACAAATTTGAAATTGATAATGTCAAAGAAGTAGGTATCTTATAATCTGAAATGCCCTGCAATTAGGCATTGTCCAAAAAAAAGCTGACGTTACCTTCAAATAATTTCAGTGTCAGATATACTAGTATTTTACAAATCAGAATTTGTTTGGACACTTTCACTAAAACTCCAGGTAGTAACGTGTTCGGTATGTTCAGTAAGGTTTTTGTAGGTTTTTAATTCAATTTTTAACAGTGTAATCATGCATTGTATCATCATCAAACTGATTTAACCTATCTTATGTTGAAATTTTTCTCCGTTGTGTGTGCCGCCATGTTGAATTTTTGTCGATGTTAAGCCTAACAAAAAGAAACTTTTTTTAAATAATAATCGTAGCTATTGTATAGTTAAAAATTATTCTTTTATTTTGTACAAAAAATAAATATACAGTAGAGCATCGTTTATCCGAAGGAATTTCAGTCAACAAATTTAAATTTTTGCCAGTGTTGTGGCGCTGTAATCTTTGGCTATGTCTTCGGCTACTCAAATATTTTATGTTTTTGATACTAAATTAACTTCTGAAGTATAATTTTTTTATTGTTTTTATATTTTTCAATATATTTATTTTGTTTGTACAAAATAAAAAAATAATTTTTAACGATACAATAGTCTTCGTTAGGCTTAACATCGACGAAAATTCAACGCAAAGCGACAAACAACAGAGAAAAATTTCAACATAGGATAGGTTAATATATTTTTTCGTACATAATCGGTTATCC